TTGTTGGGGTGTTTTTGTGGCAGCACCACATACAGGCTTAGTTTTCACATTTGTGTTGTTTTCGGTGTTTTCGTGTGGTTGAGGAAATTTCTAAAAACGGTACCCTGTTTTTAAAGTTTTCTTCTTACATGTCATTTGTGTGGTTGTGGATTTGAGGTTTTTTGGGGCTATTTTCAGGAGGTTTTCCCAGTAGAGTATGACCTCAGCTATGATGCAGACATGCAGCTTCTTGTGTGGGAGTTTCTTTCCAAGCTGGAACAACTAGTGCCAGACCTCAGTCAGGTAAGAAGTGACATCACAGCAGCAGTCAGATAAAAGTACGCAGTTCCAAACAGTACTACAACTATTTTACTTCCATTATTGATTTTTGTTAAAGGGGCAATATTATGTGTTTCTCAAGCATATACTGGCAAATACTATACCATAATAAAGTATCTATGTCACCTTTAGTTGTTATTAAAATGCTGTTTTTATGTTTAAATAGAAAATAAACTTATCTTCTCATCACTTCCTCTTCTAAACACCTTGAAATTGGCCTCTGTCTCTTTAAGAACCACCTTCCGCTTCTGTCCCGCCCATTTCAGGGGTTCGCACGCGCTATGATGCAGTTTACTTGGCATCTGAAAATACGTTTCCTCAAAGCTATTTTGAATCTGAAAAGAGCTTCACAAAGTGAGAAGTAGTGTTTGGAGCGCAGCAGACAGTTTCAGTTTCACTTTCAGTTTCACCAGTTGTTTGCTTTGTTACTGCCAAGAGCCTGCAGGAGTCATGGGCGGGGTGTGTGGGGTGGGGAGGTGTGCTCCGTGATGAGGAAGTTCGACTTGGAGACACAGCCCAGAGGCATTTCTGGTCCCCACCTGTTGTTTTGCTCCTCAGCATGGCTGCATAAAAACGCTGCAGGATTTCTCAAACATACATGAATGAGTCAAAGCAAGACTTAGGGCATGTTTTTTTATGAGAGTATAATATTATAACATGATATAAAACTCAAAAAAGTTGATTTCACATGACATTGCCCCTTTAAGAACAGGCCGATGATTGATTAGATCCGCCTGGCACAGAGAGCCATTAGTCTGGTTAATATTTAAGTTCATCATTGACAAGAAGACACTGGTTCTTTATGAATGGTAACATTTTAACCGTATTATAAACTCCACTACCTTTGTCCGTTCATGGTGTTGTTGTTTATCTTTGCTTCAGTGATTTAATGATTGCACCAGAGGCTTTTTGCACATCAGCATGTACTGAATGCTGCAACACAGGGTGATGGAAGGGGCAGCAATTTTTTGATGACACAACCAGAGGGACACACACTGCTGCACACTTATGTAACTCTACATTTGAAAAGTATTTGCCTATTAGTTTCTTAAACCAACATTCAGTGCAGTAACAATTAATTTCAGGCTCAGATGCATGTACAGTGTACTCTTGTTTAATAAAAATGAATATAAAACGTTTGAAGCAAATAAAAAAATAAACGTTTACTTTAGCGAGCTGAAGTGCAACAACATAAGGTGCCTTTAGTGCAGACTCCTGCGTGGTTCTGGTTCTGGTTAAAAAAAAACTCTGCTGTTTATGTACTTGTGACTTCAGTAAACTCCTCATATTTAGCTTTGTGCAACGTGTTGTAGTGACGACTTCTATCAAAACCCTGCATGGCAGACAGCAACTCCAAACAGACTTAACACAAAGATTTGCCTTAAATCGTCCACCGAGTGC